TTCATCAGGGGCTAAACTCGCCATAGTGAAATCTTCAAGTATTCACTTCCAGCTTTTCGCTCTGCAGCACTCATTTTAGCATAATAACATGCAGGGATATAAATCCTAATCACAACACTTATGGGCGTTATTACATGAAAAATATTATAATATTTTTGCTGATGATTATAATGAAAACAATAGTAGTAATATTTTACAAATAATCTTTATAATAGTAATGGTGATAAAAAATTAATCAGAAACCTAATTTAAATATACCTTCTGAGTCTTTAATATATATTAGCAAAATGAAAAAAATCAAAACTTCAACTAAACCAAAAATTATTATTTGTTTGAGAATTTTTTTCTCAATCTACTAACGGAAAAATTTTGTCATCAAGTTGCTAATTGTCATGCAGTTCTTGGTTATTATAATACTCCATTAACAATGAAATCTTATTTCATAATAAACATCAAATAATAATTAGATGAATTAAATAAAATGTTACCCAGCCGGGTGGCTGTTTTATAAAAGTTAAAAAAATTTCCATATTAGCACATATGAAGTTTTTTTTTTATTCTTCATAAAATATAATTATATTCTCTTCAGAACCAAATTCATCAAATACCAACATGTATTCATTGTTTCAGTTTTTTAATAAATACTTATACCGACTTCCTAATTGAACATGATTTTTAAACTTATAAAGTATATAAAATATATAGATCTAAAATTAAGTACACATACCATTAATTAAATAAACTAAGAATATAATAAACTCACTTCTTTTAAAATATTTTGAATATTTTGCGAACTAGTCAATATTTATGTGTAATTATGCATGGCAGTGTACGTGATTGTGTACACTTTTTATGTCCACCTAAAGTGATTCGTATTCCATATAACCATGTTGTTAAAAACCTGTCCCATTCTTTTGAATATTATCTAATCTATTAAAAGGAATCCATTCGATTATATTTTCATAAGATCTGCTTTAAGTTGAAGTTCTTTAATACAATCATCGACATCCTTATTTCCACTGTCAATCCATTGTCTTCTGAGAGTCGCATATTTTGCACCAAGTTCTCCATGTGTTATATCGGTTACAATTTGCTTATTGTCCTTTCCACTTATCTCTCTTAGAACCAAACACATCGTCCGTAATTCTAAGATGATTTAATATATAATTCTAAAATGACTAACGCATGTAACACAAATATACATCATTTAGAAAAACCCGATCACATTTTATAAAACCACATTCTTTCATGAATAATGACAAGCCACCCACTAATTTAATAAATTACATGGTAAATATAATTATCGGGCAGCTTACTATGATTTATCTGCCAATAATAAATTTAATGGACAGAAACAAAAGTTTAAAATAGTTTAAAATAGTTTAAACTATTGTTTCTGCCAAATAATTTTATTATTGGGCACAGAAAATCACCCGATAAATCCGTTGTCGTGCAGTGCCCGCCTATTATTGATCATCAATGCTTATGCCTATTTGTATACTCGGGTTTACCAAAACTTTATCCTATATTCGTAATTACTGAATTTTATCTTTGAAATATGAAGCCACATAAAGGCTTGGTTTCATGAGGCTTACGAAATTGTGCACAATTATATTTTCTTATATGTCACAACAGTGATAAATATTTGGTGCCTTTGGCCAAAAAAAAATTATATCAAATCACTCAATGAAGCCAATTATGAAATTTATTCATTCTTCATTGATTATAATCAGTCGCAATATTTAATGGCTTTTGATGATTTGAGAGGCTTTGGATAAGCCTTTGTTTTTCTTGAAAATGCTTATGCTTAATAATTCTTGAGCATCCAAATGTCTATATAAACTCTCCCAAATCCATTCTCTCGAGTTCTTCGTTGAAGAAAAAATATCTTCAATAAAATAATAATAATAACATAATAATAATAACACATAATATATAATATATAATAATATTATAATAATAATAATAATGAGGTTTGCTACTGTTGGGCTTTTAGCCGCGTTCGTCGCGACCGTTGTTGCTGGTTGTGTATTTTATTCTTCGTTAAGCTTGAAGTCAGTTTGCGTTAATTGATTCTCGTATCTATTTATTTTAAATTTCAATGTTACAGAACCACAACCACCCGAAAAACGTTACTATGAACGTGACGCTGAACCACAACCACCCGAAAAACGTTACTATGAACGTGACGCATCACAACTCTTAAAACGATACTACGAACGGGACGCATCACCCTACTACGAACGGGACGCATCACCCTACTACGAACGTGACCCCTACTACGAACGTGACGCCAACCCCTACTACGAACGTGACGCCTACTACGAACGTGACGCCAACCCCTATTACGAACGTGACGCCTACTATGAACGTGACGCCAAACCCTACTATGAGAAACGATACTATGAACGTGATGCCAGTCCCTACTACGAACGGGATGCCTATTATGAACGTGACGCCAACCCCTATTATGAGAAACGATACTACGAACGTGATGCCAGCCCTTACTACGAACGTGACGCCTACTATGAACGTGACGCCAAACCCTACTACGAGAAACGATACTACGAACGTGATGCCTATTATGAACGTGACGCCAGCCCCTACTACGAACGTGATGCCTATTATGAACGTGATGCCAGCCCCTACTACGAACGTGATGCCTATTATGAACGTGACGCCAGCCCCTACTACGAACGTGATGCTTATTATGAACGTGATGCCAGCCCCTACTACGAACGTGATGCCTATTATGAACGTGACGCCAGTACCTACTAATACTACGAACATGAACGTGACGGTGAGACCGAATAAAACAATTAACATGATGTCAATTTTTGTGCAGATAATATATAGCCATATGGTGTTAATTATATAAATTATATAGTAAATGGTTAAATTTTACTTTAATATTTAGATGTTTTTAAAAAATCAAATCTAAATAAATAGAATTATTTGCAAATATTATAATTAATGGTTATAATTAATGGTTATTATTATTGGTTTTTTTTAATAAATTTTTAAATTCTTAATATAAGGTTTTAAAAAAGTAATTGATATGCTATATATAAATATATAATTTTTTATGGATTTTTAATTAAAAGTTTATAGTGTTAGATAAAAACTTTATATATAGTCAAATATTTGTGATTAGGTCTGGTGTCAAATAAAATAATAGATCAAATCAGCTCTATATTAATCAGTGAAAAATGATGCTGTATATCCGGATATTCAATTCGTAAAATGCTATTCAGTGAATATCTGAATATGCTATTCATTGGATCAGATCTCTAACGGTGAGTATATAATCAAGCATTTAAATTATTCAATTCATAGCATTACACTGTATCTGGTTTCAATTTTATTAGCAGTAATCAAGGTGTTGAATTATAGCAATTAAATGGTTATTATAGTTACTTAAAAAACAATTTGATTTATTAAAAATTCATCGTGTGAAATGTGGATTATAAATTTTAATCAGAGTAACTCTTGATTTCTGACTAATGTTGCCTCCGATTCCTCTAATTCGTTAAGTTATTATTTCTACAGTTGAATTAATTTCGACAATCGAATTAATTCCAACAGTTGAATTAATCTTAGCTGTTAAAAATAAATTCAGTTTCAACAGTTGAATTTAATTTCTACTGTTGAAATATTCTAAAATTGAATTTTAATTTCACCCATCTATACCCCTGCCATTGAAAGCACTAACCTATATTCAACTAAAATAGTGAATCTACCTACTGTTAAATAATAAACAACTCACTATTAAAATTATAAGCTTAACCATTAACCTAGTGATGAAAACGGCTGGTTCGGCTCAGCTCATGACTAACATTAATCAAGCCGAGCCGATCTATCAGCTCCAAATCCAGAGTCGTTTATGAGCCAACCAACCTCAAGCCGAGCCGAGCTGTTACTATAAACATAAGGTGCACGAAACTAGAAATGCGTCCAATCAGATACCTATTACTTCGAAACTCACAAAATTAATATAACATCTTTAACTTTATTCAGCTTCAAATAAATGTAAGATAAATTTTATGGTTTATATTATTTTTAACGAAGCCTTGTGTTCTAAAACTTGCGAATTGCCGGGTGATTAGATAAAATTATGCATTAATTAATTAATCGTTCACTATTGGACAATGGACATGTGATTTAGATCTATCGGCTCGGCTCCATGTTCGGCTTCAGGGTCCCAAGCCGAGCCATTTTTAGAGCCGATGCTTCGGCTCAAGCCGTTTGCATCACTTCATTAACCCATGCATTATTGAAATCACGAATCTGTCTACAGTACATTCTATTAAATCCAATAGGCATAGTGAACAGTTTTTGTATCGGTTTTGAGAGGTTATCGGATTTAAGAAGCTCACTGGTCACATGGTTATAGATAAATATAATTGCCTAGATTATATTTATTATTATATATATACTTGGTTACACAAAGCCTGATCTGAGCTAATCAAATTGATTTATTTCCAACAAACTCGATATCTTATCGTTATAGGTATCCTTATATCAGAAATGGCAGGTTATTGGGTTTGAATTATGGAACAGACATGGTAGATCAATTTTTTATCAGTTATCAGTTTTGACAGGATAAGTTTTGAAAGTGTACACTGTAATATGAAAATTATAAGCCAAGTCCCACTATCAAAATTATTGATTCATTCGCTGTTAAAATCACTGTTAATATTATCAACCTATCTACTACTAAAGTCATTATCTGCTACTGAAATCATGCCCGTAGTTGACATCTGCCTGAAGTTGTAACTTTCAGGTGTGTAAAGTTACGCTTAGCTACAATTTATAAGGTATAACTGAAGTTGCAACTTCAAGCAGGTGCTAACTTCAGGCACGATATATACTGTATAGATTTAAAAGCCCAGAGTCTTGGCAGCACTAATTAAAAATTGTATAGTCATCTCCAAAGTATATAATGGTTATTACAAAAACATAATATGCATTATTGATTGGATAAGGCCATACAAACTTAATAAATCGATTCTCATAACATAAAATTTCTAGGGAAATTTACAAATAAGAGCCCAAAATTGAAAGTAATTACAAATAAGGGCCCAAAATGAAATAATTACAGATAAAGGCCCGACATTCGAAAATAATTACAAATCAAGGCCCAAATCTATCGTTAGCTGGCAAGCCTGATCCAAATATAACAGCAGTTGTTTCTTGTGATTAAATAGATAATTTAGTTATCGTAATATTGAATTTAAAGTATAATCGCTATATCAAATTGGCATACATACATATGACTAGACGCAGATTTACTATTTGGCATTAAAACATTAGAAATAAAATGTACATTCTAGCTTTTATTTCTATATATTCAACTGCATGTACTGTACGCGAATCATAACCTTCCCTATTATAAGGTGACCTGGTTTTCGGGTGCTGTTTTTTCACAACTACATAAACGAGTTTTTTGTGGCTGTCCTGCTTGATTGATTGTAGGTGATGGCAAAAGTAGGTGATGACAAAAGTTTGTTATCAAAAACTTGCATCTGATATGATGTTGGTCATGAATGAAATTTTAAACAATATGCCAGGAATTTGTGTTGAATCAAGAAAATAATTCTACAATGCAGATAATGAATAAATAGAGAATGAATAGAGAATCAAATAGACTAAAAGTGCATATTCGAATTTATATTCATTGATTATCATTCGAATTATTAAGCCACGGGACTTAAAGCCACAGGTATTTAAGTGTAGAATTATTTTTGGCCCTTATTTTAAATATTGGGCCTCTATCAATAATTATTTCATTTTGGGCCCTTATTTGTAATTATTTCAATTTTGGCCCTTATTTGTAAATTCCAAAATTTTTAAAAGTGACACGGCAACTCGGTTTTTAATTTTATTTTCAAAAATATTATATATAAAAAAAACATAAAATTTTTATAGATTTTTTAGAAAAATTCACCCGGGTAATCAATATACTTAAAATTTTTTTAAAGTTTTGTAAAATTTGATCCAGCCGGGTTGAGAGCCGATTTATTAAGTTTATATGTCCTAAAGTTGAGGAAATCGAAAAAGTTAAGAAAAATATACGTAGGGCTAAAGAAGCATTTTATTAATGACATAATGTCATTTTTGTATAATCAGGATACAATTTCGGACCAGCACCAATGTGCTAAACAAAATGCGCGATTACTTCGTTTCACTGCTTAGTGCAAAATTTTTCATGGATTATCGTTTCTATTTATCATGTGATTTAAATTAATAATTTTTATAAAATAAGGTAGCTGCGCGACGCAGTCGCGCCAAACCAGGAACGTAAATTTGGATTTTAAAAATCTGTGTATTATTTT